CCACATGTCAATTTGTGACTCATCTATATTTGTGTCCTTCCTATTTCTGACAGCCTATGTATTCCCTGTGCCAAGGCTCTCAGGTTGGTCCCAATTCCCTCATTGATGGCCCTAATAATTTGGAGTTTTATCTCAAGGTCTGTGATCCACCGTGAGTTTATTCTTGTGCATGGAGTGAGATAAGGGTCTTGCTTCATTTTTCTGCAGATAGATATCCATTTTTTCCAGCACCACTTGTTGAAGAGGGCATCTGTTTCCCATTTCATATTTTTTGGGCCCTTATCAAAGATCAGTTTTCTGTATGCTGGTGATTTTATTTCTGGGCTTTTAGTTCCTGTCCATTGATCTGAGTATCTGTCATTATACCAATACCATGTGGTTTTGACCACTGTAGGTGTGTAATATGTGCTAAAGTCAGGTAAAGCAAGCCCTCCCACTATGTCCTTTTCTTGCGGAGTTCTCTGATAATTCTGGGCTTCTTCCCTCTCCATTGGAAGTTGGTAATGAGTTTTTCCATTTATTTGAAGAAAGAGGAGGGTAATTGTATCAGGATTGCATTAAAGTTATATAGTGCCTTGGGCAGAACTGACATCTTTACTATATTGAGTCTTCTAATCTGCGAGCATTTGTTGAGGTCACTCTTGGTTTCTTGTAATAGTCTTCTGTAGTTTTCCTCATATAAATTTTGTTATTTTAGTCTGGTATATTCCTAGATATTTCAATTTGTGCTTGGCTATTGTGAAGGGCACTACCCTTTTGATCTCCTCTTCTTTGGTCTTACCAGATATGTATAGCAGTCCAATAGATTTCTGTTTGTTGATCTTGTATCTGCCACTCTGCCATATTCCTCTATTGCTTCCAGTACTCCCTTTGTGGAGCTTTTGGGAATTTCCATATATAAAATCATGTGTGAATAAAAATAGTTTCACCTCTTCCTTGCTCAGGTGAATACTTTTGATGTCTTTTCTTTGCCTTAATGCTGTTAGCTAAAACCAGTATCATGTTAAATAAGAGTGGGGACAAGGGGCATCCTTGTCTGGTCCACTTCTTCAGTCAAATTGTTTTTGTCTTTTCTCCATTGACTACTACATTGGCTGTTAGTTTTAAATATTGTGTTAGTCTGGGTACTTTAGAGAAACAAATCCACAGAAACTCATGTATAAGAGAGAGTTTTATATAAAGGTTAAGTGTGCATCAAGAAAACATCCC